CACACAGAGACAGAAGAATATCATTCAGCTATTAAAAAGAATGAAAACTTGCCATTTGTGACAACATAGATGAACCTTGAGAGGGCATAATGTGAAGTGAAATAAGTCACATAGAGAAAGACACATACTCTGTGCTTTCACATATATGTGGACTCTAACAAACCTGAACACATAGAAACAGAGAGCAGGTTGGAGGTTGCCAGAGGTGGGAGCCAAGCAGTGGGGTGAATGGATCAAGGTGGTCAAAAGGAACAAATTTCCTGTTGACAATAAATAAGTTGTGGAGATATAATGTACAGCACGTTGACTATATTTAACAATACTGTATTGTATATTTGAAATTTACTAACAGAATAGATCTTAAAAGTTCTCATCATAAGAAAAAAAGGTGATGGTAGTTAACTAAACTTACTGTGGTAATCATTTCACAATATATACATATATCAAATCATGATGTTGTATACCTTAAACTAATACAATATTATATGTCAACTAGAGGCTCGGTGCATGAAATTCATGCACGGGGGGGGGGGGGGGAGGTCCCTCAGCCCGGCCTGCACCCTCTCCAATCTGGGACCCCTCAGGGGGTGTTTGATTGCTGGTTTAGGCCCGATCCCTAAACCGGCAGTCGGACATCCCTCTCCCAATCCGGGACCACTGGCTCCTAATTGCTCACTTGCCTGCCAGCCTGATTGCTCCTAACTGCCCTCCCCTGCAGGCCTGGTTGCCCCTAACTGCCGCTGCCTCGGCTCCCCCACCATGGCTTTGCGTGGAAGGACATCTGGATGGATGTCAGGAAGACATCCCATCTAATTAGCATATTTCCCTTTTATTAATATAGATTATACAACAAGCTTTAAGGTAGAATTGCATTAGTAGAAATGAGACATTTCATTAAAAAAATATATATTGGTTTGATATATATATTGTCAAATCCACTTGTTTATGACAAAAATCAAGTCTTTAAGAATAGGATTGCTTGCCTAGCTGGTTTGGCTCAGTGATTAGAGCTTCAGCCTGAGGACTGAAGGGTCCCAGGTTTGATTCTGGTCAAGGGCACATGCCTGGGTTGTGGGCTCGATCCCCAGTAGGACGCATGCAGGAGGCAGCTGATCAATGCTTCTCTCTCATCATTGATGTTTCTATCTCTCTCCCTCTCCCTTCCGCTCTGAAATCAATAAAAATCTATTTAAAAAAAATTAAAGAATAAGATTGCTTTGCTATAAAAGCCAAGTAAGGTGTGTCATTCGTTGTTCCTGATGAGGTCTGAGCAGCTCAGTTGCTAAGCGACTTCGCTGGATTCTTAACAAATAAAATCTGTGGAGAAGCAACTACATCCACCATGCATTTAGGCTATAAAGACCGAAAGTTGGGGAGGACAGAGTGCTTCTGGGGTAGGAGACAGTGAGGGTCAGCGGCTGGGAGGCAGGGAAGATGCAGGAATGCCCAGTGCCTGGAAGCACTGGAGGGTCTGGGATATGCAAATCTGCTGGGGGCGGGGTCAGGCCCTGTGCTCTGAGTGGTCAGGTCTGCAGGGAGGACAGGGGTTCGGTTCCAGGATCCCCTTCCTGTGAGGCTCCTCCTCCTCCCCTTAACCCCCTAACCTGTCCATTTGGATGAAGCGGGGTGGGAGGCAGGTACACAATGCCTGGGTGGGACGCCCCTCAGTGCCGGATCTCTCCAGGGCGGGGGAGGGCTATTTGTATTGGTTTATTTGATTCTTCTTACACGTTGAAGGGGGTGGCAGGGGAGTGTCTGCCAGACATGGTTTCCTTCTGCTTGCTCGCCAGAGCTGCCCCACCTGATGCCTTTTCCCTTCCTTCCCCGCTGCCCCGGGCTAATGGGCATGAGATCGCCAGGGATGAAACTGGGGCCCGGTTGTATTGCGTGGAGATTGCCCTCCATAGGAACCTGCCTGATCCAGGGAGGGTTGGGGTCATTCACTGCCGGAAACACTCGGTTTAAACCAAGCCGCCGCTTGTGGCCACTTAGATAGGCGCCAGCTAAGCCATTTGGGGAGGGTTTATCATCCCTTCTGGCTGTTTCCTTGGGAACCACAAACTCAAGATAGCAGAAGGGGGGGCGGGGGGCACGGGCTTTTCAGTGCCGGCTCTCCTCAGTCAGCTGCTGAATTTACTTGAAGGATGTAGAATAAGTTTTAAACGATACTAAAGTGTGTACAATTAGGTCGAAGCACTATGCAATTGTTTCCTATTAATTTGTACGATTGAGGGTCCTGAGTGTTTGAGGATGTCAGCTCTCAGAGAGCATATGATTTTAACTATTGAATTAAAGCAAAGTCTCCAGTGACTCTTTTGGCTGGGTGGCCTCTGGGCCAGGCGGCATGGCAGGCCTGTGCGCGCCTCCGCCAGTGGCCGCTTCTGCCTGGGCCTGCTCACCACCCCCAGCTGGGTGGCCTCCGGGCTGGGTGGCGCTGCGTCTGACCAGTCGTGACTGCTAAGGCGTCCGGGCTAATTAGTATATCCCTTGATTATTATGTAGGATGATCTATACTAGTAAAGGGGTAATATGCTAATTAGACCAGATGTCCTTCCGGATGACCTTCCAGACGAAGCTGGGGCTGCCAGGGAAGCCCGGGTCCTGGGTGCCTCCTGGCAGCTGGAGGGAAGTCTGGGTCCCAGGTGCCAGAGGAAAGCCAGTGCCGGCTGTCCGGGGAAGGAAGGCCTACTCTTGCCCAAAGTTCATGCATCAGGCCTCTAGCATCTCAATAAAACTTGGAAATATAGGAATAAAAGTAAATGTCAGTTACCACGATAAAAAATGTTAATCTCATTCAAAAGCACTCTTACAGACTCAGAATAATGTTTGACCATTCTCTGGGTTCATAAAATCAATCATCATGGTATCCAATAGGATATCATGAAAATAACATAGTGTAACTTCAGAGGATAGATTTTAAAAGACACTTTGGCTTCTGCCTTACTCTCTTATTATGGGAGAAGAAACCAGAACCAGTCACCATGTTGAAAGGATACTCAAAGAGTCCTATGATAAGGTAAGAATATGGGGTGTCCAGCCAAAAGTCATGTGAGTGAGGATTAAGCCATCTTAAATGACTTAATCCAGTCCCAGTCAGGCCTTCAGATGACTGCACTTCTAGCCGATGTGTTGACTGCACCCTCATGAGAAATTCCAAACCAGAACTACCTTCCTAAGCTGCTCTCAAATTCCTGACAGAGAAACTGTGTGAGATAATAAATGTTTATTCTTGCTTTAAATCAATATGTTTAGGGTAATTTGTTACTATGCAATAGATAACTAATTTAAAAGTCATTCTACTGCTGAGTGGCGTGGCTCAGTGGTTGAGCATTGACCGATGAACCAGGAGGTCACGGTTCGATTCCCAGTCAGGGCACATGCCCTGGTTGCAGGCTTGATCCCCAGGGTGGGGCATGCAGGAGGTAGCCGATCAATGATTATCTCTAATCCTTGATGTTTCTATCTCTCTCTTCCTCTTCCTTCTTCTCTGAAACCAATAAAACAAATTTTAAAAAAGTCATTCTACTAAAGTAATTGATGTGTACTCTTCAAAAATGTCAAGGTCATGAAAGACACACACACAATACAAACCCTGAAGACGTTTTTCAGATTAACTGAGAAAAAAACATACATAACAGTCAAATGAAATGTGTGATCTTAGAACAATCCTGGACTAGAAAAAAAATGTGTGTGTATGTGTGTGTGTGTGTGTGTGTGTGTGTGTGTGTGTGTGTGTATTTGCTAAAATAAACATCATCAAGGCAATTGGAGAAATTTTGAGTACTTTCTGTTGCTTACGTAATAGTATTGTATCAATATTAATTTTCTGGTTTTGCTCATTGCATTGTAGTTATGTAAGAGAAGGTTCTCATTTTTAGAAAATACACACTGAAGTATTGAGAGCAGGGGTGTATTGCCTGTAACTTATCTCAAATAGTTCCAAAGTAACAATTATATGTGCAAGTATCTCTCTCTCTCTCTCTCTCTCTCTCTATATA